GGGAGTAGGGTGTTTAGGTCTCAGCTGCCGGCCACCTTGTCTTCCATATGGATGCAGCTATCTTAGAAGAATCTCGATCCTTAAACCTCCTTTTGTCCTGGGGACTGAAAAGGGCATTGTCAGGCCTGAAAAGGACCTAGACAAAATCCGCACTGTTTCAATTCAGGATTCTGTTTAATCAGTCCCTGGTGACAATGTAGTGGGTGTTAGGCAGGACAATGGTATCTTTTTAAACCTTGTGGCCTTCAGGAAGACAAAGGGCTTGAATTTTATGGGCTTACAACTTCAATTAGAACACTGCCAGTGTGCTTGGGAGATTATCAAATTTGTATCATAAAACCCCTTTCTAATAAATGATTACTGGGGAGAGAGCCTGGACATTGTAAGACATATATTAGGACCTGCCAGGGGGCTTCCTTGTTAGTCCTGGCACAGCAGATGGGAAAGAAAAGGAGAAAAGGATTTCTGAAGAAAGTCAGGGTGGGGACTTGCCCCTGTTATCTGCTGGCTACACTATGCTATTCCTCCAGAAGTGGAGTGTTTTCTCTGAGAGCAGGCGCAAAGATTTGTAGCTAGTGTTCTGCTATTAGTGATGACAAAGACCTTCTGGACGTTCTTGGCAAGAAAGTGCCAATGAAAGCTCAACCTGTTCAGTTCCTTGCCTTTTCTTTTCCTACAGCTCCAGGGAAAGTAGGTCTTGGGGCGTGCAAAATGGATCTGGCCCACTGAGATCCTCTTCCCAGGAGGCTCTCTGGGAAAGAACGTCCTCAACTAAATTCAACCTGGCCCTGAATGGGAGCCAATGGTGTAACCAATAAGAAAGACCATTCACGGGATGCTCTATGAGGTGGTCAGAGCCGTGGTAGGATGTCCACCTAGTGAATCAGGATGTATCCTGGATAGGAGGAGGGCAGCAGTTTCCTATGATATCAGCATCAGGAACAATGATGTATAAACTGTTACCAGGTTTTTTTTTTTTTTTTTTTTCTTCCCTCCTTTATCTTTAGGCTGATAAGGTCCTTCTTAGAGAAGAAAAGCCATAGAGGAAAGTTCATTCCCATCCCCATCATCTGTTTGTGGACTCAGGCTGCCATTTTTTCAGTTTCCTTTGTGAGCTAAAAGATTAATCTTCCAGGCTCTGGCAAGAGAAGCCAGACCTAAGACCTCTCTGCCAGCAGCTGTGAGAGCAGTGATGATCCTCCCTTTCTCTCTTCCTCATGGTACATCTGTCACCCATCACCAACATCACAAGGCAGATTCACACTCAGCAAACTTTTATTGAAACTTACACCATGCTAGGCATTGTTCTAGGCACTTCCACATTTAACATCACAGAAATCTTAAATGATACAGATGGATAGATAGATAGAAATATAAAGTATCATTTTGCAGGTGAGAAACTGAGACTCAAGGTGGGCAGGTGAGTGACTTACTCATAGTAGTTGTAAACCTCTAAGAATAAATGTTTAAGTGCTACCATTGTCCTCGACTTAGCCCAAAGCCAGTCACCCTACCAGCTGCTCTGAAAGAGGACCATTGAAACCTTGATATGGCGGTTTAGGTATATCTCCAACCATCATAAGCTATGTCACAGCTAGTCTGCAAAGAGATAGCATACCTAAAGCACTCTGCATAGCTCAGGACCACTCACAGAGGCTAACTGCTTGATACCATGATAGTTGCTAACATTTAGTGATGTTTCCTGTGTGCCAGACAATATTCTAAGTCCTTTTCTTTTTAAATTGTGATTTGGGTGAAAGTTTAGAGAGAAAATTCACTTTCCATACAGCAGTTCACATACACTTTGCCTCATGACATCGACCACAATTCACCACAATGCAACAGCTCCCCTCCAACTTTCTAAGTCCTTGTTTGACATTTTAAAATTAATTAATTACATTTTTTTCTAAGTTCTTTTATCCTCACAACCACCTAACCAAGTGGCACTACTATCTCCATTTTACAGGGCCATAGAGATTATAAGTAACATGCCCAAGGTTACACAGCTAGTAAGTGACAGCAGCTCTGAACTCAAACATTTAGCTGCAGATCTTACATCTTTACCCACAAGGTGGGTATTTATTTCCCACTCATTGTTAATGTTTTATTTCTCTTAGTCTAGAGTCCTGGTTACTTTCCTCACAGATGATTCCCCAGAGGCTGTTCTTTAGCATCTTTTTCCTCTCTGTCCCTCCCTCCCTTTTGCCTTCCTTCCTTTCATCCTTTTTTTCTCTCATTCTTTTCTCTTCCTCCCTCCCTTCCCCTCATCCACCAAATGCCCAGCCTTTAGTCACAGTCTGTTTCCCCAATGTTTGTTTGTGTGCATTCTTGTACAGCTGTTAGTGAAACACAGTTCTTGTCTGCAGGTCATAATATTCTTTTGTGAAAATCATTCCACCATTCTTCTTCTGGAAAAACATCTGCTGCTACCCCCTTGACACAATTTGTGGACTCGGGGCTCTGTAAAGTCGCTGTTGACTCTGATAAGCTCTCTAAGCTTTTCCCAATCCCCAAGCCTAGATCCTTGTGAAGCTTTTTATGACTTTGGTTTTCCTCTCCATTTTCCCAGACCTCTTTTTCCTTCTTAGGTCTCTGGTTTCATCTTTATTATTAAATAACATCCTCTTCACATTTTCTCACTCTTCTTCCATTTTAAACATTTTCACTTCATCCCACTTAGTCTCTTGTGGGTGGAGATCGCAGTTTTCACTTCAGTTTTCATTCTTCATTGTTCAAAGGATCTTACATCTCTTATCTGACCAATTTAGTACTTTGGTATCTTAAATAATATGCTACTGATGCTTTAGAAGGAAGTTATTTGAGCCCAGGTTATCCTATACCTTTCCTTCTAACAATGGATTCAGATGCTTTTAATTCTCTTACCTTGTTGACACAATTAATTTGCCTCTTCAAAACACAAACAACGTCACTGCCTTTGAAACATTTTTTGACTAACAAATAAAATATGCAGGTAGGATACTTATGGACTTGGCGTGGTTAAGTAATTTGTTAACCATGTTTATCTGTTCTGGTTGTTTCAGTTAACCAGACTATGCAAGTTATCAGTAGACAGTCAAAGGAGCTTTTGGAATGCTAAGAAATTCTGTCCCCTCCCCAAGATGCTATGGATGTGATTGCATTATTTGGTATTCAAAATCTACAAGAGAAAATTATTTTCCTCCAGGTTACTCATCATTTTCCCAAGCCATGATGTGCTAGGGGATTTACTAAATTGTACTTTAATTATTTGCAGAATTCCAGTTCTGTACCTGTTCATCCTCCTCCCAAGCCCTTTCTGCTAGTTACTAAGGTGTATGGTGACCTCGTTTCTCCTTTGAACCCACCCCTCATGTTATTCAGTCAATAAGCATGCAAAGGAAATGAAGTGAATAATGTTCCCTTTAGTGCTGATCCACAAAATGATGGTTTAACTTTAGAGGGAAACCAGGAAGAATCAAATAGGCTATTAAACAATTAGAAGTTTTCCTCCCACCC